AATTGCAAAAATCTTTCTCAACGATCCAGATCCCAAGACCATGGCAAAGTGCAAAAAGCGCTCGAACTGGGCTCAATGGAAAGAAGCAACTCAAGCCGAGATAGCTTCGCTCACTAGAAGAGGGGTATTTGTAAGGAAAATGGACCCTTGGCCCATTTACTTTGGATTTTGGTGTTTGATGACCAACACAACCAAATTGGACTAATAAATTTGCAAGTGTTTGTTTTGTAGTCCAATAGGGTGCAAGACGTGACTTGGACGAAGGCGACGTGATGATCCGATGATCAACACCTCAAGCAAGACTTTAGAAGCATAAGTGAAGACCCAAGAAATCAAGCAAAGTCCAAGCATGAAGATAGGAACCAAGCTGTACGCAAGATCACGAAGAAACGAGCTCGCAGAGGCGACCGGACGCTGGACCGGACGCTGGAAGCGCGACCGAACGTTGGACCGGTGGCTCGACAGATAGGTGACCGGACGCAAGGACCAGACGCTGGCGGCAACCGACCGGACGCAGGAACGCAGCGTCCGATCGAGTACAGAGAGGTTCTAGGCGCGCGAAACTACGACCGGACGCGTCCGGTCAGGACGATTCAGCGTCCGGTCAGTAGCAGATTTGCGGGAGTTCGACCCCAACGGCTACTTTCTCAGTGGGGCTTATAAATACAACCCCCAACCGGCCATTTGAAGGTAGTGGAGCTGAGGAAACATATCTAGGGTGTTGATACACCATTTTAGTGATCTCCACTTGCATAGTGCTTAGTGTTTCATCAGGTGATTAGCGTAGGTGCTTTGCGAAGTGCTTAGGTTGATTAGACCACCGCTTATGCGCTTGCTCTAGGTGTACACCTAGTGTTTAGTGAGGTTTGCATACCTCTTACCACCCCGTGCTTGTGAGCACAAGAGTTGTACATAGGAGGGGCTTGAAGTCTTGCGAGATCGCACCAACCGCGTTTGTGGTGCGGCCGCCACCGTGTACCGAAGGGAATAAGGCCCGCGGCGTTTCGGCCGAAAGCTTGATAGTGAAGACGGCGGGGAGCATCTGGGAGAGGCTTGCCGGAAGGCACATCGGAGACCCACTTGCGTGTGGGGAAGGCCCGAGGCTATCCACGGAGTTACCCGACCGGGAGCTTGGCCCTTGCAAGGGATTCCTTACGAGGGGCTCCAACGAGGACTAGGGGAAAGCTTACGCGCTTCTCGATACCTCGGTAAAAATACCGGAGTCGTCGACTGGAGTTTGCATATCTCTACCTTGCTCTTTAAGCTTCCGCATTTACATTGATCTTATTATTATCATTTGCGGTAGAGATAGCAACACACTAGCAAAACCGTAGTTGAACATCTAGATAGATTAGCTTTTGCATAGGTTTTGCTAGAGGTAGAAAAATAGGCCATAGTTTAGAGTTAGATTTTTAAGTTGCCTAATTCACCCCCCTCTTAGGCGTTCACGTGTCCTACAGTATTCACATCTGCAATACCTACACCTTCCAAAGTTTTTTCTGTAGGCTTTAAATGGGTTTTCGTCCAGAAACGGAATGAAAAAAATGAGGTGGTAAGATATAAAGCGAGGCTAGTAGCACAAGGGTTCGCGCAGAGACCCGACATTGATTACAATGAAACCTATTCTCCAGTAATGTGTAGAATTACTTTCCGATACTTAATATCATTGACAGTTCAAAATCATCTATCTATGCAGTTGATGGATGTGGTGACAGCATATCTATATGGGTCACTTGATTCGGACATATACATGAAGGTTCCCGATAGAATCCAAATTCCGAATCCAAGCGCAAATCGCAACATGCATTGTGTAAAACTACAAAAATCATTATATGGCTTGAAGCAGTCGGGACGAATATGGTACAACCGACTGAGTGAATTTCTTTTAAAGAAAGGATTCTCTAACAATGATGATTGCCCATGTGTTTTCATTAAGAAATCTCGAATGGGATTTTGTATTATATCGTGTATGTTGATGATTTAAATATCATTGGCAGCCCAAAGGATATAGAAGAAGCACGCAAACATCTAAAGACGGAATTCGAAATGAAGGATTTGGGTAAGACCAAGTATTGCCTAGGCTTACAACTTGAGCACCGTCCTTCAGGGATTTTAGTGCATCAATCAACCTATATTCAGAAAATATTAGAGAAATTCAATATGGATAAATCATACCCTAATAAAACTCCGATGGTTGTTCGTTCCTTAGAAATAGGGAAAGATCCATTTAGACCACGGGATATTGGGGAAAAAGGTGTTGGGATCAGAAATCCCATAGCTCAGTGTCATTGGCACACTTATGTATCTTGCAAATTGCACCAGGCCTGATATTGCATTTGCAGTTAACTTACTGGCTAGGCATAGTGCGGACCCAACTCGCAGTCATTGGACGGGAGCGAAATGTATCATTAGATATCTTAATGACACAAATGATCTTGGTTATACTGATGCAGGTTACTTATCTGATCCTCATAACGAAAAATCCCAAACATGATTTGTATTCCTACGTGGAGGTACGACTATTTCATGGAAGTCTTCTAAGCAGACTCTGACAACAACCTCTACTAATCATTCTGAAATTATTGCTCTATACGAGGCATCACGAGAATGTGTATGACTTCGCAGAATGATTAACCACATACAACAGTCATGTGGTATTGGTTTAATTGAATCACCTACAATTATCTATGAAGATAATTTCGCTTGTGTTACACAGATACAATCAGGTTACATAAAGAGCAATATCACTAAGCATATTGTTCCTAAATTGTTTTATCCCCATGAATTACAAGAAAACAGAAAAATGAACATCTTGCAAATCAAGTCATGTGATAATCTCGCTGACCTATTTACTAAGTCCTTACCAACTTATGTGTTTCAAAATTGGTAGATGGAATTGGTATGCGGCGACTTCGAGATTTGCTAGAATCAAGGAGAGACATCTCCTAAATATTGACCTGTACCAGCATCATATTATACTCTTTTCTCTCACAAGTTTACTTACAAGGTTTCTTGTTAAATTTTTAATAAGGTAATATTAACATAAGCATGTGTCATATTTTCAATTTTCCTCACCGGGGTTTTTGTGGAAAATATCAAAGACACATATTGCCCTCACAACTCATCTATGGTTTTTCCCTGAAAAAGGTTTTTCATGTGAGTTATCCAAGAGGCAATACCATTAATATGTCGTCATATTTTCTCCTAATTTTTTCCAACTGGGTTTTTACAGGAGTTTTAGCGACATATCACTTTATATCGCTTCTCATATTTTTTCTGAAATGGTTTTTGAGGAAGTAAACTATATGTCGTATCTCCAATATTTTTCCCCACTGGGGTTTTTAATGGGATAACAATGACATATTGATTTATTTAAATCACACTCATATATGCTATTTTCTCCTTATTTTCCTATAAGGTTTAAAGGAGTTTTTATAGCATATCTATACATACATATTCCTCAGTTTTTGACTTTTTTCCCACAGGGTTTTTCGAGGAATCCAATTATACAACTGCATTGATCTCAAAGAAGATTCGATCAAGGGGGAGTGTTGTGAAATGATGCCAGTACACCAACAGGCGTCCTTCTACAGATGATCTCATCCGTCCGTACAAGCAGTTAGGATTAGAGATTAGATTAGTAGTTAACTTTCCCGAACAGTCACGTCCGTACAACGTGACCCTTCATTTATATATAATCCAAAGGGATCAATGAAACAGTTAGTTGTTCCCAAAATCTTGTTCATTCCATTCACTTTTAACAGTCCTGGCCCTTTGCCAGCTTCAGAGTATGAAAAACCTGTCAGAAAAAGTTTTCTGGTGAGGATTGCACAAAGGACAACAGTGAAGGTGAATCCAAGTTTTTAATGTTAACCTTCAGTTTATGCAGATCAACAAAGCAGATTGAAGGCACGTGAACAGATTGCTCAGTTTCAGATTGTTCAGAATTTTTTGATACATCATCAGTGCCATTGGGTCCAAGCTCATGATTTCCAGTTTCAGTGCTGCTATCACACTTGTAGTTGTTGAAAAAGATGTTCCAATTAAAGCAAAATGGCCATCTGTAGAAACATCGATGCAGCTAACTTGTCCAGAGAAAGGTAATCGAACTGAGGTAGCAATAGGGAGTCCATTGACAGTGAAGGTAGATAATGTTTTCTTTGTTTCATTCCAAACCAAAATGATTCCTTGAGAAGATAAGCATATTGCATGTGGCTCTTCGACATCAAGCCTCCTTATCAGCCTGCCTGTGCGTAAGGAATGTAGAAGAACGCCTGTTGCGTTTGATGAGGAAGCAACAAGTCCCAAGTCAGGACTAACAGAGCAGCAGGTTACTTCCCCAAGATGTCCTCTCATTACATGCATTGGACCTTCAACTCGACGTCTCTTTGTTTCTGAGAGGCTGCTAGTGCTGCCAGAGAGAGGACTACGTGGTGTTGTTGGCGTAGTAGGTGGAGGTTGTTGAGCATTTTTCTTATGTGAGGAGCCTGTCTGATGAATCCTCCAGAGTATAACTGTGGTATCTCTAGACCCTGTCACAAGATAGTTGCTATCAGGCGACAGCGCAAGGCATGTCACTGGAGCAATATGTCCAGAAGCAGTTTCAATCGTCTTCGCTCCATCTGGGGATATCAACTTCAATGAACCATCAACGTGGCCACCTATTATTGAGCAAAATGATTTTTAGTTTTATAAGAAGATTTATGGAAAGGCGACCAACTAATGAAATAAGCTTGTAATTACCATAGCACACTCCATCAAGAAAACAAGCAAGTTCAGAACTAGTTACATAGCTCAAGCGTAATGAGGCCGTTGACTGCCTGCCTAAAAGACTTCAAAAGGAAACCTAACTTTTAATTTATGTAGAGAGTTGCTTAGTACAAGATAAATTGCAATTCATACAGGAAACCATATTAGCAGAGTGACCCTTGTTCACCCTGGATTGTTTCTGGTACCAGAGCCGGTTTAGGTTTTCTATACCTTAATCGGTGCTGAAAGCTATGGCGACCAATGAAAAGTTTGATGTTCGCGCTCCGTTTTTTGATGGGACTGATTATGATTACTGGAAGGCACGTATGACCAACTATCTCAAAGGCAAGTCGCTGAAGCTATGGAAAATCACACAAAATGCCACATATGTGATTCCAGCTGAGGAACCGACTGACGCCGCTGAGATCGGGCTTCTTGAAACAAATCATCGTGCTGTTGCTATTTTACAGGCTTCTATTTGTAAAACTGAATATGATCGGGTTTCTAGTGAAGATCTCGCTTATCAGATCTGGGAGAAACTTAGAAAATATCATGAAGGCTCAAACACTGTGAAAAACCGAAAATTTGAGATTCACCGAAAAGAGTTTGATGCTTTTTGCCAATTGCCTAGTGAGTCTATTGATGACATGTTTGCACGTTTTCAAGTGATTGTTAATAAGATGAAGGCCATGAATAGCAATATGCCTTATGATGATCATGCTAGGGCTCTCAGATTATTACATTCACTTAATGATGAATGGGATATGAAAGTTGAGGCGATCGTTGAATCTGTAGGTTATGAGACTCTCACCATTGATGAGCTTTACAGTAAGCTCAAATCAAAAGAGATTGAAATTGTTTCTAAGCGTAAATTGAAAAATCCCACAGCTGCTTCTTCTTCTGACGTTCCAATGGCTTTGGTTTCTGGAAATAAGACTAACACTAATGCTAATCCAAATGTTTCCAGTTTTGCTTTGTCTTCTTTGTGTCATGTTGCAGATGAGGAGTTGGAGGTGCTAGATGATGATCAGCTTGTACTGCTCTCCAACAAGTTTAAGCGTGTGTATGACAACAGGCGTAATAGAAGACGTTCAGATGGCTGCTTCAACTGTGGTGAGCGAGGACACTTTGCTGCTGATTGCCCAAACAAGCAGAGATCTTTTGAGCAGGGCAATAACTCCTCCAGGCGCCAGGAGAAGTTCAGGGAGAGGAAGAAGAAGAAGGATAAGCAATGGAAGAAAGGCGGACAAAAATACTCTGACAAGCAAGTCGCTAAGGCTGCAAATGTTTTGTTATCTTCTCTTGGACAGTATGTTTCAGGTGGCTCGTCAGACTCCAGCGATTCAGATTCGAGGGATGAGACACCCAAGAAGAAGACAGACGGACTTTGCTTCATCACTGACGCCGGCATCAATGATGGGATATGTACTATGGCCTTGGAGGGTGATGCATCAACCGACAGCAACGATGAAACTTCTGATGATGAGGTAGATACTTCTGCAGAACAAAGAATAGCTAATTTAACTAAAATTGTTCATAAGCAAAATAAAGTGTTGGCTAAACTTAAAACTGATTATGATAAAACTTGTGCTGAACTAGCTACTCTCAAAAATGCTGCATCTAATCCTGCTGAACCTGATGAATGTGAAGAATGCTCAATTCATATGATTTCGCTTTCTAAATTGCAAACCAAGTATTCTTCCATTGTTGATGATCGAGATAAACTTTACGCTGAACTAAATGAACTTCGTTCTCGGTCGAATTTGCTTGGTACTTGTGTTTCTTGCCCGCTTCTGAAAGTTGACTTGGATAATGCTTTATGTCGGGTAAAAATTTTTGAAGAACACACTTGTCCTGATTTGCCGGATTGTTTGATTTGTCCAACTTTACGATCTGAATTAAATGTTGCTAAATCACATATTGTTGAGTTGGAAAAACACACTTGTCCGGTTCTTCCTTCATGCCTAACTTGTCCTAATTTTGTTGTTGAAAATAATGATTTAAGGGCCAAACTTGCTGATTTGGAAGAAGAAAATAAGCATTTGAGAACTATTCTTGGTTGGTGTTCTATTCGTGAGCCTCAAATTGGTATGGCTATTGCTCAAATTAAACGGGGTGAGCGTTTTGGTCCCGGTTATGACTTGAAACATGTTTTTGGTGAAAAAAAGTGGACCGCTTTGTTGATGAGAAGAATCCATCTTTGGCTAAATATCTTGGACCACCTCCTAGGAAGGGTTCAGGTGTCACCTCTGATGGGTTGCTGGTTGAGACATCTAGATCTGCTCCTAAAAAGCAGGTTTGGGCGCCTAAGCCAAAACACTTCAAGGATGTACAAAATACTAAGCCAAATGGTTCTTCTTGTGATCATTTTGCTAAGCCTGTTTTTGTTGCTTCTAGTTCTAATGCTGAGGCTTCTGTCGCTCCTGCACGCAAGCTTTATCATTGTGATTTTTGCAGTCATGATGGTCATCTTTATGAGTTCTGTTATCGGAGGATGCGTGCTGAACGACATGAGCAGTACCCCACACGTGGTACTCATGATCGTCGTGTTTTTAGATGTGAGCAGTACCCTGTACGTGGTACTCATGATCGTCCTATTTTGAGACGTGAGCCATTTGTTCGCTCTTCTGGTTTTCGCTCACGTACTCGTGCTCTTGCACAACATCGGGATGACAGACCACGTTTTCCCCCTCGTGGTTCTCATCGTTTTTTGAGAGCTTTGATTTTGCTAATGCTTCTTTTGAGCAAGTGGCTCAAAGACTTGTTTTCATTACATTATCCTAACCCGATGTTGAGTCATTAGCTCACCTCGCTCGTTGTTGATTGCAGGTTGTTGGAGGCGAGGAGGACATATGGATAATGGACTCGGTTGTTCGCACCACATGACCGGAGATGATAAATGGTTCTCCACCTCACCCCACGAGCGTAAAGGAAAACATCACTTTTGGGGATAAAAGTCAAGGTAAGGTAATGGCGCATGGCTGCATCAAGGTAACAGATAAATACACGCTAAAGGACGTCGCATTGGTAAAGAATTTGCATTATAATTTGTTTGTTCTGCATTTAGCAACTTCTTGAGGATGATTTTGAGGTTCGTTTTAAGAAAGGAAATTCGCGTGTTCTTGATTCTCTTTGGTAACCTTGTTTGCAAGATTTCTCCTTTTAGACGGATTTTTAAAGCTGATTTTTCTAAATCTTTTGGTGAAACTTCGATGTTTAGTTGCTCATGGTTCCCCGATTTGGAAGTGGCATCGTCGATTGGGCCACTTGAGCTTTGATTTGCTTTGTCGTTTGAGTTCATTGGATTTAATTGATGGTTTACCAAACTCAAGTTTGAAAAGGATTTGATTTGTGCTCCCCGCAAACATGGAAAAATGGTTGTTTGCTTCTCATGCACCCGTGACTTCGGTGATGACGAGACGACCGGGTGAACTGTTACATATGGACATCGTTGGTCCAGCCCGTGTTCGATCTGCTTTGGTGGGAAGTGGTATGTGCTCGTCGTTGTGGGCGATTTTTCTCGATATTCATGGGTGTTCTTTTTGGAATCTAAGGATGAGGCTTTCTCACATGTTCATGATCTTGTTACGAAGTCAAAAATGAGTTGTCAAATAATGCCGTTAGAGCAATTCGCAGTGACAACGGTACGGAATTCAAGAATTCTCGCATGAAAGCTTTTTGTTCAGAACAAGGTTTAGATCATCAGTTTTCCTCACCTTACGTTCCTCCCCAGAACGGTGTTGTTGAGCGTAAAAATCGTACGCTTGTTGAGATGGCTAGGACAATGCTTGATGAACATAAAACTCCTAGACGTTTTTGGGCTGAGGCTATCAACACCGCTTGCTATGTTGCTAATCGCATTTTTCTGAGAGCTTTTCTAGGAAAAACATCTTATGAGTTGAGATTTGGTCGACCTCCCAAAGTTTTCCACCTTCGAGTTTTTGGCTGCAAGTGTTTTATATTGAAAAAGGGAAATTTGGATAAATTTGAATCGCGTTCTTCCGATGGGTTATTTTTGGGGTATGCCTTGCAAGGGCGAGCGTACCGTGTGCTTAATCTTGATACTAACCGCATCGATGAGACATGTGAGGTCACCTTCGACGAGACAATGCCTTGTTTTTCTTCTGCTTTTGAGTGTGCAGGTGATGACGAGATCGGGCAGGATATTTTTGAGGATGAGAAAGAGGAAGATGGATGTGACGACGACGATGACGATGATGCCCAGCCTGCGATGCAGGGGGAGCCTGGCGCCCAGCCTGAGCAGGCGCCCTCCACCACTTTGGAGGATGGACCATCGCCGACACATACATCTACAGCAGAGCCTGCAGCTTCACCGACTGTTGATCATGTACCGGCTGCAGTTGAGGGGGAGGCGATTTCAGAACGTACAGCACCACGACACATTCAGAATCGTCATCCTACCAAGAACATAATAGGTAATTTGGATGAACGCACGACAAGGAACAGAGGTACGAAAAATAAAAATTATTGTGTCTTTGCGCATACTGCCTTTGTTGCCTCTTTTGAACCCCGAGATGTTGGACATGCTTTATCTGATTCTAACTGGGTCAATGCCATGCATGAGGAGTTAGAAAATTTTGCACGGAATCAGGTTTGGGTTTTGGTTGATCCTCCTCCTTCTTGTAAACCAATTGGAACTAAATGGATCTTTAAGAACAAACAAGGGGAAGATGGTCATGTTGTTAGAAATAAAGCTAGGCTGGTTGCTCAGGGCTTTTCTCAAAAAGAGGGTATTGATTATGGTGAAACTTTTGCTCCTGTTGCTCGTTTAGAAGCCATTCGTATTTTGCTTGCATTTGCTGCTTCACGTGGATATAAGCTTTATCAAATGGACGTGAAAAGTGCTTTTCTGAATGGTTTTATAGAAGAAGAAGTTTATGTTAAACAACCGCCTGGTTTTGAACATCCCAATTTTCCTGATCGTGTTTTTAAGTTGCAAAAGGCTTTATATGGTTTGAAGCAAGCACCTCGTGCTTGGTATGCTAGATTGAAAACTTTTCTGCTTAAAAACGGGTTCAAAATGGGTTCAGTTGATAAAACTCTTTTTCTCCTCAGGCAAGGCAATGACACTTTAATAGTTCAGATTTATGTGGATGATATCATTTTCGGTGGTTCCTCTCATGCTCTTGTGAAAAAGTTTGCAGATGTGATGAGTAAAGAATTTGAGATGTCTATGATGGGCGAGCTGAATTTCTTTCTTGGCTTACAAATAAAACAAACTTCGGAAGGTACATTTGTGCATCAAGGAAAGTACACGAAGGATGTCCTGAAGAAGTTTGCGATGGATGATGCGAAGCCAATTTCTACGCCCATGCCGACTAGCGCTGCTTTGGATGCTGATGAGGACGGAGAGCCCGTGGATCAGAAGGAATATCGAAGCATGATTGGGTCATTATTGCATTTGATCGCTCTCTGAGGCCGGATATACACTTTGCTTTGTGTGTATGTGTGCTCGTTTTCAGGCGTCCCAGGACTTCTCACCGTCAGGCGGTGAAGCGCATAATGAGGTATCTTCGATTTACTCCTGCATTTGGCCTTTGGTACTCTGCTGCTTCAACTCTCAGTTTGTGTGGTTATTCGGATGCTGATTTTGCTGGGTGTCGTTTGGATAGAAAGTCTACATCGGGTACTTGCCAATTTTTGGGTTCTTCGCTTGTTTCTTGGTCCTCTAGAAAACAATCTAATGTTGCTCAATCTACTACAGAGGTTGAGTATGTTGTCACTGCTAGTTGTTGTTCTCGGCTTTTATGGATGATAGCTACCCTTCGCGATTTTGGTTTGTCGCTTTCTCGCGTTCCTCTCTTGTGTGACAGACTAGCGCTATAAGTGTTGCAAAAGAATCACATGCTTCACTCTAAGACGAAACACATTGAGGTTCGTCATCATTTTCGAGGATCATGTTGAGAAGGGTGATATTAAGCTTAAATACATTGATACTAGTCAAGAACTTGCGATATTACGACTAAACCACTCGATCAAACCACGTTTGCACGTTTATGCGTGGTGAGTTCGGGTGTGTTACCCATTCTAGTATCATTGTAAGTTGCTTCAGCTTACATATGCCTTATACTTGTTTTGGCTAGTTTACGATCGATGCTTTTGGAGAGGCTTGAATGCTTTGCTTGACCAATTTTATTTTGAAAACAGCACGATATATACTTAAAAAATTATGTTGGGCTATGCTTGCTTTTCTCGGATCTAGTGACTTGTTGAATACTTGACATATATCTTGCTCATGGTTCGGTAGTCAACTTCTTTTAATGGGTTTTCACTTTGCAAATGTAACTCACAATACAAGTTTTAACTCGAGTGTATAGTATGGTTGTGAGCAAAAACTCGAATTCCCATATCTCGCTATTTAGCTCATGATCTGCTTGCCTTCTTCGAGAATTTAAATATGGGCACAACTCTGATTTTTCCATGTCCCTCGCCGGTTCTCGCTCATAATCAAAATTAAACAAACTGGTCAAGCACAACTCTTGCTTCCCATATCCCCGCTTGTCATGCTCACAAAAGCCGTAATTAAATATGACAAGTGCATGCATTTGTGGGCGTTAAGTGAACTTTGACCAAGTTGTGTATCCATCGTGTCAGCTTGCTATATGTTTTGTCTTCAGCTTGGCACTAATTTTGGAATATGCATGTTTTTGCCTGGCTAATTGGTTTTTCAAAGAGATTTCAGTTCTACAATTCTATTGGTCATGGCATTGTGTTGCTCCTTCTCCGAGTAGCTCGTGTTCTTTGGTTAGCTTTTATAAGTATTTTGTATATGTCTCGAAGCTTCGACTTGTGCTTTCTCACATGCTTTTCTCTAAATTGGTTCCTTGCATTTTATCTTGATGGAGTGCTTTGTCAACAAGGGGGAGAGTGAGTAGCGCACAAATTCATTTTTGCAGGGGGAGTTTGATTTCGTTTTTCTTTGAGACTTGGCATGCTTGTTTTGAGGGGTTGAGGGGAGTGTTCTTGACATTGTTGAGTTTCTGTCTTGAGATTGCTTTTGGGAGATTGATATGGCTTTTGATTCACTTTGGGGAGAGTGAATTTCTGTCTTGATTGTGTCGAGCCTAGTTTTTTCGCTAGCCCATGTCTTTGGGGATTAAGATCGTTTCTTTTTCTTTCTTTTTATTTTTCTTTTTCAGTACGAATAAATTTGTGCGGTGTGGTGTTGTCAATGCACTCATCAAGGGGAGATTGAGATGCTTGTGGGCTAGCACCTTGGTGATGAGCGATTGACAACACGGTGTGCGTGTGACGTGTCTCTTGGCAGGTTGTGGTTGCGGTGACAGTGGAGACAAGGTACATGCGGCGACGAGTGAAGAAACGAAGATAGGATGCCAGCGTCGAAAAACCGCGGGGCGGAGAAGGGCGGATCGAGGCTTGCGTTCGAGGGACAAAGCGATCGTCACGGTGTCGTCTCATCGCACTGCTACACGGTGGGAGGACGTCGAGGAGGTTTCGGATTATGCCACAAAATCCGGGGTTTCTTGGTTGAGCCACAAAGCCATGCATCGTCATCGGGGCGCTTCGTGCGGCGTCGTTGGCGAAGATGGAAATTCCAGCGATCGCGATACGATTTCGGATGGTCGTCGGCGACATCGCGAGATCACATCGCGGAGATGGAGGGATCGCGGACATCGCGGAATTTGCCATCGAGGATGTAATTGGAATTTACGCCCCTATGTTGGATTTATTTAGCGTGGGGGCTATGTGAAAATAGGTCGTGCCACCCTTTGGAGATATAAATATGTGGCACCTAGGGTTGAGAGTGGGAAGACGTTTTGGACTCCCGGCGTGAACAGTACCCGTGAACAGTGCTCGTGCCCTGGGGGGTCCACGGTTCAATTTTCCTCTCTCCGGTCTAGCCTAGGGTTTGAATTCTAGTGAGAGGTTTTGTTGATCTCTCCGATTAAGAGAGGGAGGATGTTGAGGCGGAGGCTAGATGCACTTTTGTAAGTTCAATTACTCGATTTAATCTTTCATCTATAATGATTGATCTTGTGCATCTCGATTGGTTCTTTACAATTCTCGTCGAAGATCTCGACATAGTCTGCTTGTTTTATTTTTATCTCAAGATCCGTAAGTCCGATTGACGTGATTCCAGTTGGGTTAGTTTCGTAATTTCATCTAGTTTAATCTGACAAATTTTTAGGTCGATCGGAGTTACGGATTTTCGTCCACATCAGGTTTACTAGGTACATAGAGTTCTGTCCAGATTTGAAAAACGTGATTTATTCAGGTTTTGTGTTTAGGGGAAGGGTTAGAAATTTTTGTTAGAAAGTTTTGGCTTCGCGACCATTCACCCCCTCTGGTCGCCCGTTACGATCCTTCAGTTTCTTCCGTAGACTTGCATCACGAGAATGACAAAGTCTACGGAATCTGCTCAGAAGTGGTTATCACGAGAATGACAAAGGAAATAGAGACGATGGACAATACATCCTGGTAGAAATATATCAATAGAAATTACCTAGATGGTTAGGTTCATATGTTCAAGAAATCAACTTACATCTTCACTACCCAAGTTCGAATGCTGGCCAACTCAGATTTGGGTGCCTATTTCTTATTTACAATGGAACCTAGTTCTTCTAAATGAAACAAAGATCAGATTCAGGCCTGGTTTACCACCTCATACATACAAAGAATTTTGGGTTTCCATCCTTGCTTTGCTTCAGTGGATTACTCCAAGCGATATTGTTATTTCTCAGTTCTCTGCGCATACTAGTCCAACTATCAACTAGAGGACTAATCCCATCGCCATAAACAATTCACATGAGGAAACCAGCTTCACTGGTAAAACTGTGCCTCAACACTTCTAATGGAGTCACTATGATGGTCTGCTGGTGGGTTCCCAGCAATGCAATTCTTCATATCGTACCTGTTGTAAATTTGACTGCCATAGGCTAAATCATGGTTCTAATCAGGAACAAGGAAGCGGGGTAATGATCAACTGGTACCAGAATAGGTTAGCAACTACAATGGAAGAAATATATTTAAATTTGTTGCAACTACTTCTCAAATCAACTGCTGGAATTTCTCTTTTTAATACGAGTTGCTTAATTGCCATTGACACACCAATCCACCAGCAATCGGCCTATAACCCTAACATAACTTATAACAGGTTAAACAACAAAAACACTTCAACCCAGTAATACTGCTAATATAAAATTACCTGTAGTTGTAAGACCTCTGCCAATGGCTTCCTCTTCATGTGAGGGACAGTCAGCAGTTGAGATGGTGTTTGTCCAAAGTAAGCTATTTGATCTTGTGTAGCTCGCCGTTCCACCTACAGCGTTTCCAGTAAAACATGAAAAGGTAGACAAAAAGGCTACTAGGAAACCTGTCGACTAACTTATGCACCCTGCTACTTACTGGGTCTGTAATTTTGTCAATGTCAACAGTTCCCTCATATGTGATGTAGAAGAATACATTGTTTGCCATTATCGCTTCTTTGCCCCTCTGTTTATATCTGCAAACCAGAGTCGTCAACAATGAAAAGGTGATGTATGTAGGTCATGGTGATGAAAAAACATCAGAACTGGCTGCTTGGGTAACTAACAAAAGGATGCCTGGCATCTTATTCAAGGTCCATGGATGCTACAGATAAGAAACTCATTGATGAATGGCTAAAAGCAAGAATAATCCATCCAGACCATTTTATCTAAATTAGGAGCTGAGAAATATGAAAGCAGCCAATCCTATTGATGGCCAAAAAGATGCTGATAAAAAAGCAAAAAATCGAATGTAGAATGGTTGTACATATCTATCAAACTTAAGATATTATTGTACATGCAACCCAAATGGAGTGTCCATTGAAGATAGAACAAAACATCAATGGTATTAGCATGATGCAAACCTACATCAAATTATCGTTAGGATGTCTGTGCAAACACACAAGAAAGTGGTCAAGCTAGGATAATATAGAGTTTACCCGAAAATTAGATCAATCCACTCATGCAAATGAGCAGAGACGTGCTCACTCTCAAGAACCTTCCGGTGTTTATGGACAAAATCCACATGGTTCTTAGCTCAGGGAGGCAATTCTACAGAATCTGCAATGGTACCGGAATGCATCACTGTTTTTTATCTACTCAGCTGCATAGTGGACATAAGTTGAAATGCGATTACCTAGCTTCCCTCCAAGTTGAGTTGTCCCAAAGTCAATGCCATTTATGTTGGTAAATACCTCAGGGAGGTAAAACATCTCAGGTACCTAGATGAATTACCATCAAATAATCAGATTGCTGCAACCTAGACTTGGTTTCGCCACGAACCAGTAAAGATCGATGGGAATTAGGAACTACTGCAGACACTTGTCGGTATACTTACTAGCTCTTTTACATCACTCATGTCTTCAAGAACACTATCCCATGTACCAGAAACATCAGAAAACATGCGATCAGCATGGTCAAATTTGCCGCCTTGCAGTTGTATAGACAGTGTTGTAAAAGATTCCACTCTGAAAAGGTAATACAAGACCTGCAAGGGATAATAGTAGTTAGTACACTTGTTTCAAAAAAAATAGTACTTAGTACACAAATCAAATGTTGTGATAACCAAGTATGCACTGGACAATAACCAAATATCAAAATTGCAGGCCACATAATCGAGCAAGAAATGACAACTTTGTGTTTCCTAAGTATTAGAACAATTGACAAAAGAGGATTGCAACAAACCAAAGTTATACAAAGGGTAAAATCACAATTAAGAGACAGTTTTGACCGATGCAGGCAAAACCATGCACACATATGACCTTCAGACTCCTCTATAGTCTGCTTATTACAAATTAATCAAGAGTTAAATACAGCCCAGAGCACTTGCGTACTACATAATTCACATTGCATATCCAGTATTCTAAGTAAACATCAGATTCATATCTACTAAGAAGATATACCGTGCCAGCGCTGGAGTAATGTGAACCATAATGAAACTTTGGGATGATTGGATCCTCGAATGTAGAGTACCGTTCTTGGAACTTCTTTAGTCGTTCAGGGTTTAGTGCTCCAATTGGCTGCATCAAATAACACAGGCTGTGGTTAGTGATTAGCAAAAGACAGGAGCAACAAATAGGTGAAGGTCAACCTTTGAAAGATCTCGATACGACGAAGGATCATACAGATTCAACACTCGGGATTTGTAATCTGCTACTACCCAGGCCCCAGGGGAAAACAGGGTACTGCACAAGCAGAAACAATATTAGGACGACAGGTCGCTAGATTCGACCAGAAATATGAAGTATGCAGGATACTGACTTGAGTAATGTCATTGTAACTGCGCCCAGCCAGTGTGTTAAGTTCCATTAAGTACTCAAAATTGCTGATCTGAACAAATTAGACATAGTTAGATATCAAAACTGTTGGAAACTGGCTGGCCTGCACAGGTGAGCAGCCTCTTTAAGCCTAGAATGAATCTTGTAAAACATAGCATAATCTAAGGTTCAATTTGTAATGTAGGTTTTATTTTTCCTCTGGCTACCATAACAAATCAATTGTTCCCTTTGAAATCCCTGAATGAATTCCGAACAGGCCATATGAGGTGTGGGCACTTTAGGAAGATGTAACCATGTATTTCCTAGAAACCCTATATCATAACACTTATCTACTCTACAACATCAACATAAAAAAAACACGATTTAGTTAGAGGCTTAAAGCTACCAATCTATGGTTAGTTACACGTACTTAGAACCGATCTAACTATTCTCTTTCATAATTCTATAGAAAAAGATACATATTTTTCTGAGTTGAAGCTTTTCCTAGTTTAAGCGTGAAATATGAGTAAAATAAGCACAGTAAAATTGCCTTCTTGATTTGTCATCAGTATGCCAGTGATACAGAGTTTAGCAATAGCCTCCAGGGAGACAGCCAGTACCTCAATGGGTAATGCATCTGCTGCCAAAGCACGATCATCAGCAATCAGTGGATTTTGTCCATCTGAAGAAGTAAGCTCATGGATACCAGCCAAAAGGGGCCGCCATCTTCTAAGAATTGCTATAAATGGTGGTAAAATCAGCTCAATGTATTGTTTCCTTAGGGGTTTCCTGTCCCTGCCAATAGCGTGCCATACCTGCATCAAGGGTAAGATAGCGCAAACTCTTATGACTAACAACTTCTTTATATTCCCTGAATAATATCATTACAAAAATACATGAACAAAAAATTAGAAGCCTAAAAGATGAATATGGTATGCTCATTTATTTACAATGTTCCCATGGATTCATTAATATAATAGTGTTTGGCCAAAAAAAGTATTTGGATGAGCAAGAAAGGCATGTATAGCTCAGCCTGGGCGTTCGGTTTTAACCGACGGTTCGGTTCGGTTTCTTCGGTTTTTCAAAATTTCGGTTTCTAGAAAATGATCCCGATCGGTTTGCTAAAATTCCAAAAACCGACCAATTTCGGTTTGGTTTTTTAGTTCGTTTTTTCGGTTAAAACCGAATAAACCGATGCAAGAAAACATCAGACAGGATTTAGAACTGACAGCACAGCACAGTACATACTTGCACAGCACAGTATATTATTTGAAGACTTAAGACTATTACAAACTTAACAATTCAATGCTCAAATCATATATTACAAATTTGCAGTTCATTCAGTACTCCATCAGTTTTGATAAACAACAGGAAAAAAACAGGGTTCGGTTCGGTTTCTCGGTACTTCGGTTCGGTATGGCATCGAAACCGAACCCGAAACCGAACACCGAACATCACAGAACTGGAAACCGAAACCGAACCGAAAAACTGAACTACAGACCATTCGGTTCGGTTCGGTGTTCGGTTTTCGGTGAAAAAACGCCCAGGGTGATGTATAGCATAAAAGTCAAGGGATTTAGGACAGGCCACCAAAATCTTCCAGCTTTATCCAACATGGAAATCTTCACTTGAAAATGGAAAAGAGGGAAGGATGTTAGCACATAATATTGCCATATTGAAGATAAACACTGTTACTATACCAGATTACACATCAAGAAAATGGCTGATAGCCCTCTTATCTACAGCCTTGCCCCATTGAGAAGAGGCTCTGATCATAGCCGAGTTTGGTAGGCAAAGCCCTTTATAAGATTGACTCTTGTTCCAAGAATTTCTGAGCAAGGCTAAGGCTACCTTTGTATACCAGGTGCAGGGCTAACTCAATTAGGAAGATATGAAACAGACTAGGAGAAGGGATAAGGAAATATATTTTAAAAACAAAAAATATACGGCGCCTTCCTTATCTGGAGCCATTGCCAGGTGCGCTGAGATTCGCTTTGACAGAAGCATGTGACAGTGTTTCTCCCTCCACCTCCCTCCTCGTCTCGTGTTTCTCCCTGCCCGGTCCGCACCTCCCCCTAAGCGCGGCATGCCCCCGCACGCGTGCCTCCCAATGAGCGTGCCCCTGGCGCCCCTCTTCGTGATGCAGCAGCTGGATCCAGAGGAGATGGGGAGGAGCAGAGGCAGCCCCTCCTCTTAGTGGTGCAGCAGCTGGAGCCAGGAGGAGATGGGGAGGAGCAGAGGAGGTCGTGGGGAGCGGAGGGAGCCAGTGGATCCGCCCCTCTTCCCCGTGATGCAGCAGCTGGAGGCCAGGAGGAGACGGAGAAGAGCAGAAAAGGTCGTGGGGAGGAGCAGGGCCATGGTTGGCGTGCTTGGCAGTGAGGAAGACAGGCGGCATTGTGAGCAGTGAGGAAGAGAGAGATGGTTCCGTTAGCTCTGTTTGCTTCCATTTATTTCAATTAAGATGGAAGCTGCAGATAAGGAGGGCGCCAGCCCCTATGGGCACCAAATCCACTCTGTTTTAAAAATGTGAGCTGCACACTGAATCAACAACAAATTCCAGAAAATAAAAAAGGTAATGTTGGGACCATACAATCCATAGCACATCCATGAAGAAAAGAAGTTAAAAAGGAGTTCTATGTTCAGTGTAGTAGTCTACTAAGGCGCATGACTTTAAATTCATTATGAGACAGATTACATGATTAAGTGATAATGCAAAAGAAACTCACCTCTGAATAGAGAATAGAGGAAGCAACCAACACTCTCTGTCTCTTAGACTCCGTTATTGGCTTATTGAGGATGGGGCCAAGCACACTGTGAGGTCACAAGATTTAGGAATTAACAAAATGGCCACCCATGATGGACTAAAAAGCCGAATCATATCATATATTTAGCTGCATGCACTGACTAGTTGCACCCAAAAACCAAATCTGATGGGGAAAGGCGGAACACTCTCCCTCACCCTCATGTGGAAATGTGGAATTGAAGCGAGCAAACAATTTTTATTAAAAATTTGTGCCAACAGTTGCACCCAAAATCCTAAGCAGATGGGGAGATATTGCCAATTCACTTCTACAAAATATATGAAAGCAACTTGCTACTGTTGAAGTTCTGATTATTAACTACTCCATCCCAAGATACTTGATGTTTTAGGATTTTTAGAATAGATTAGTGCTCAATGGAAACTACGTATGTACCCCTATTTATTGAAGATGATCCATGGTAATTAAGGAATAAGGCGCTACTTAAAGGAATGCATGGAGGCATGCAGGCTGCAATCTCAAGCTGATATAGGACTAATCTAGTGTCCAAGAGCTAAAACATCAAGTTTTCTGGGACGGAAGGAGGAGTATATTACAACAAATGCTCCAACTCCTAACAAAGATCATTAGGACTTTTTTTGAGAAACCATCGGCAGTTTAGCATTAGCACAGCTACATTATGTTAATTCAGCAACAAGATGGGCTGTGAATCTGACTTTGCTAAATGATGCAGTTACCTCCAAAGAAGTGCAGATCGAGGTTTTCTTGGAGATGAATAACTGTTGATATCAAATGGCATCATGCTTCCAGCCTGGCGGTCCATTCCTTCTGATACCACATCCTTTATGCTAACATCTTTTGTAAAAGCATCACCTTCACCATTGTCATCCTCCCTCATTGAAACAAGAACCATTCTGAGCATGCAAAGAAATGGTTGATCGCTATCTAGCAACTGATAGAGGGCAGTCATAACCCCCATACCAGGGCCAGACCCCCCTCCAATACCAAGACCACCACCAAGTCCAGATTCATCTAACAGAAGTGCCTGCAGCACAGCAACTGATTTCTTCACAAGTGGAAATTCAATCCAAATCCCATTTAAATCCTTCTCTAGAACAGATTTCCAAGATTCCCAACCGCTTCCACCACCACCAAATATATCAGCTTTGGGTGGAATGCCTACACCATACCACAAACGGCTTCGGTACTTCCAACTTTCTCCAAGATCAGCTATGCAGCTCCCATAAGACACAAATGCATGCTTGACAGATTCATAAGGTTCAGCTGCTGTTGCTGCTGTAAGACGTTCCATCACGGCAGCAGAGATTTGTCCATTTGAATCAGCCATAGAAGTAAGCAACTGCTCAATCACAGCAAACAAAAATGAAGAAAGTATTCATAAGAATAAAGTTCAACTATCTGTTGGCAATAGTCTATCAGCATAAGGCATGAAGGAACAGTCAAAAGTTAATTATTTTTTATTTTCACTAGATACCAAGAAAAATGCAATGACATATAGCCATCGTGTATTACATACATCCAGAGGAAGGCCACCAGCATCACTGGACAAAGATGCCCGTCTTGAGGCCCCAGCAGCCATGGGTTCTTTACCAGCTGTGCCCAAAGAATTTGACCGACTGGCAGCCAATGAAGCCATTGCTGTGGAAGATGTGATGCTATCACCTGTAAGGGATGTGCAAAAATGTTGACCTTGTGATCGATGATCTTCCACAAGCATCAGAATAACTATTGCATTCTCTGCTAGTGCTACTGAGAGATAAGCAGCATTCTCAGCTTGAACTTTTGCTTCTTCAGGAGACAAACCCTCAGCTGCAACACCAGCTGCAGCTGCTGCAATTACTCCAGTCTGCTGGACATACAAGCAAAAGAAAGACATTACAGAAGAATAGCCACAGAACTCGGGGAAAAACTATCACATTGCAACAATCTGCATGATGATGATGAAATGTAAACCATTCAGAATTACAACAAATATATTACAGTTATCCTCTAGGATCAAACAACTACAAATAGAAATGGGATTGAGTGTCAGTATTCCTGACAACATAACAGAAAAAAATGTTGTTACATAGCAGTGCTACTGCATCTAGGTGCCACCAACCTGTTATTCTTGAGCAGAGGGAGTAGGGAATGCAGTCAAAGCTACCAACTCTACTATTTCAAACGTAACAATTAATATATCACAATTTAAGCCAGAGAAGGATTAAAAACATTTATTTTATAGGACGAGACATAAAAAAACAAAACATGAAAAATTAACTATAGAAAGTAGCAACAGTAAGAGATATAAGAAACAACTGCCAATACAATGTATAAAAAGATCCATGCTTAGGCAGATCATGTCGAGAAAAGGAGTACCTGAACTTGAAGCTCCCTGGCAGAAAAATCAAGCAGGTCACCCAACAATCTCCTTTTAAAAATAGGTAATGATTCTTCACGCCTTAAAAAGAATAGAAAGTAGAAGGTTGTCACAAAATGCAGGGCAAAAAATCCCAGTAACTGAAAAGGGTAACGGTAAATATAGTGCAGAGAAAATAAATAGTGTTGCCTAAGGAGTTTGAGAAGTAAATCCTAGGCTTTTGAGTGCAGATATCTTAGAATGAAGTTCTGAAATTATTTCTTGAACAACTACCCTGATATCTAGCTAACCTACAGATTTTTAAGAGTGAAGGGACCACCTGATCCTTTGGTCTCCAGTGCTAGATCCTCCAACCATTGAGAGCCACTCCGCACAATGAATTGTTGCCTCCGCATCCTAAATAGTTGCAGGGAAAGGACAAACAAGATCTTATGAAAAAAACAAAATGAATTTGGCTGTGATACAACCATCACAAACCTATCAACAAAGAAGGGATGGGCAGATGGCCATGACACTATGAAACATGTATGTTACTGAGGATGTTCTGCTTAAAGATTATCTTGCCTTCCACCCATCTTTTTGTCGAATTGAATGCTCCAGCATTATAATCAGGAAATTGTGTATGAGGTCTTCAATCTCGCCAATGCTTACACCATCAGCATTTTTCTTTGTGCCCATCTACAGTTTGAATACGTGAAATGAAGAAATACAGTTTATGTCATCCGAGCTCAATTCTTGTTAGAAAAATATGATAAGAGGCCTGTGACACTCACCTCATGGTTAGAAATCAAAACCTCCAAAATCCATTCTGGCCACTCTGCAATCGAGGTCATTGTAGTTCTGTTATCTAGATGACTGCAAGCCAAAAACAGAAGATCCTGAAACGACATAGAAATATTTTGACACCATAAGAAATTAAACAAGATCTAAAAAATGAAAAATAAAAAGCATACAAGTCTTAGTCTGTAAAGAACAAAGAGCATATAACAATGTAGCACAGTACAGGTGAAAACAAATGTGTAGTTGTTTGGCTACATGGTGTCAAAGATGCCGTTAACGATTTGGCTGACTTTTACTGATATAAACATGGCACCTGGGGTTATGAAGTTGATGGAGATGTAAGGCATCCAGATATTAGCAACACTGGCATGTAATCCTAAGATTTCAAAATCTACACTGGGAGTAGTTTAAGAATGCAAATGAAGCTGACTAACATACAGCATAATTTCCAAATTGGTAGTTTTTGCTATCTGCCAGTAAAAAACAATATTACAAAGAGAAAAGGCAAAACTATACACAGCATATATGAAAACAAAGTAGCTTTGACTTTGTTCAAGAGTCAAGACTTCTAGCCTTGACCATAGGATTATGCGGGTCTTCTTTAGATAAGTTCTGTTAATGATGTGCAGTTCTCCTGCTCGTTCAAGAAAAAGTCCCTACTGCATTAGTCTATTAATTAATAAACTAATATATTTATTTCAGTAAGGACCCTCGTCTACTTTCTTGTTAAAAAAGGTAGATTTGACATGATAATACAAATAATGCAACAATTCACTGTAAGGCAATGAAAACAGACCTGTATGGCACGAGCTTGGAATGCCCTAGATGCATATGGAAGCGAGCAAAGTAGAACCAGTAAAAGTTGGATATGTTCAAAACGGTGACCAGAATCATAAAGATTAAGACTTTCATCAGCTGATGAAACATTAATCTGCATTCAAGAACATGGCAAAGTTCAAGCTATAAATTTTGAACTGTAAACAAACAGTTCATCAATAAAATTGGGAGGAAGGATCAGATCATTAAACTTGAAAAGTTTTGGTTTGCTTGTATGCTACTATAAATCAAAATAGTAAACATATCAAACTGCATACAACAAAAACCAAATGAAAATTCTTATGGTCCCAGCCCCTCATTTAGGCAGAGTCAATTTAGCATTCCTGCTCACTTTTATTTGGATGACCATTGAAGAACAGATCAATAGATTCTTTTGTTATTATTTCCTATCACTTTTATTTGAAGCATCAAATTTTAGTAGGACCTCTATGTTAAGAGAAGGGTTATTATACTTCACAAGAGGGTTGAAAGTAGAGAAGTAAACCAAGAGCTACTATCTTCAATTAATCACATGAAGCCAACCAGCGTAGGTAAATAAATATATACAATTATGTAGGGCAGACCCAGTGCCGGAGGCTCCCACATGAGTGGGGTCTGGGGAAGGGAAAAACCGAGGCAAGCCTTCCCTCCGCAAATCTGCGGAGAGGCTGCTTCGAACCCACGACCTGGTGACTCAGTGAAACATATCCAATTATGTAGCATTCAGAAAAACTACATACCGCAGCAGAAATCAAAGCCATATAGACATTTGCTGTCATAAGCCTCCTTGGGGCTGCTTGGAATGCCTTTTGCAATGCAAAAAGTAACAATGATACTCTATCTTTTGACACAGTATTTCCTTCTTCATTAAGTGTGGTCTGATTACCACCAGGTATATTTGGACTTCCAGCACCAGAATCAAATTTCAGGTGACCTGATCCAACTAGAGCGCCAAGAATGTGAATAATGCCAACAACAATTCCATCACCTTTGTCAACATTGTAAACATTATTCCGGACATTATCAGAAGTAATTGAGAAGCTAATGCCACCCAAGTTCTTCAAGAGCCCATTCTCAGAACCAGCACTTTACTTCCAATATTTGAGTCCAGCATATCATTTGCATTTGTGGCTTCATGTTCAGCTGATTCTTCATGGAAGACAGTTTCATGACGTTCAGCTGATTGAGTTTCATCAACCTGACTTCTTGTGTCAGCACTATCAGCTTTTCTGTTGGAACTTCCATCCTTGGGCACATTATTTTCACTAAAATTTGCACCAGAATGATCCAAAATATTTTTATTACCCGCTTTAGCTTCCCGTTGTAAAAGAACAAGTAGTGCTTCCACACCACCACTAGTGATGAAGGATTGAGAAAATAAGTTGGCTCTAGAGACGTTAGGCTGTACAATCAACCTATATATGAGGTGCAACACCCTTGCAACCTGCCAATAAATACATGAATAATAACCCACTTGTAGTAAGACATGGAAGATTTATGCATTTCCCATTCAGATTATTCATAGCTCAGCAGAAAAAAAAAGGATAGAAAGCACTGGTGAAAGTTTGACAAAGTTTGTCTAGTAAGCAAAGTCCCAAGTACCTGATTAGGCTGTGGGCAGTCAACAATAAATCCAATCAAACAGCGGACATCATCTGCGGCTGCTGTTGAAGATGCTGCTCCTAACAGCAGTTCAATAACAACCAAAAGTTCATCGACTAGAGCATTCACTTCCCCCAAAGATCTCTTTGTTCCAGTGAGTGCAAAGTTATCGATTGAATCTGGTTCCTGAATTACCCAGTAACACCTTCTGCAGCCATCAAGAAGCATTTGCATCACTTTGGCATCTCGCATGCAAGCAGACTCTGTAAATACCATGTCTGCAAGAGAGGACAGAAGCTTCTTCTGTAAACCATAATTGCACGAACTCCATAGATTTAGGTCCAACAGCAAGCTGCTGAAAAGCTGCACTTGAAGTTCATGATTATTTCTTTGAGACTGGCACAAAGATACAATGGCAGCAACAAGCTCCTCATCAGTCAGTGCCTCTTCTCCACTTTCCAGCTTTGAAAGAGCTTGCAACAGATAATGTAAAACACGTGATAAAAGCTCTGGTGCAAATGCCCGGCATAATTCTTCATTATTTCCAGGGTGTTGAATAGCTTGGGAAATAATCCTGAAAACTGGGGCAGAAAGGGAAACAGTAGCAAGAGACGATGGCAAGTCCCCAGGTGTAGGCTCAAGGCTGTCCACATGCACATTGCCTATGGTTAGTGGAAGTAAAGCCATTGGGCCCCCATAAGCTAAGGCCCATAAAGATTCTGCAGGTCGCACACGAGATGAGACATGAACCAATCCAAGAACCTCTGCAGGCCTTCGATGAGTGGCTAAAATTCAACAGAAGAAGGTACCAGTTAGATACTTAGATCATATATAGAGTACGGGAGACCATGACAAAATGGCATCCAGGCGTAGCAGGAGCAACAAGAAATATTATACGCCCGGTTTCAATAGCTTTGCGATCCTATTAAATGATTCAGTGATTTTCAACATTTCTTCTCTCCTTTAAAACATTTGCAATGGGTATTTTCAGATTTGGAAAGCAAGGTACTAACATGGATCGTCGACTAAAATTAATGAATTCAAATAAATGGTAATGCTGGTGCAGGTGCCAGAAATGGAATATAGTCAACTCTAAGTACAAAGGTAGGAGATGTGAGGAGTTAAAACCTGATGAACCAGAAGGTGAGGAATCTGGGCAAAACCGCCCAGTGAGAAGACTAGGATGGTAAAGAAGATGCAAGCTTCCCCCTATCTCATTGTTGAGTGTAAAGCTCTCTTCAGCCATACTCTTAACATGATCATTAGTTGCCTTCCATGGCAAGCCTGCGCCATTTCCAAAACTGGGCAGTGTATCTCCTCCTCGGGATGCTAGCCGTCTCATTCTGTCTGGCCCAACTGGTTCCTTGAAGATGTAGACAGGCCCCATTTCAGCAAATAATGGGCATTGCCGCCGGCGCCTCTGCAGGCCTGCAATAGTTGGCGGTGGATTTGTCCCAATGCAGCAAAATGCAAGTGGTTTCGAGATACGCGGAAACTCAAATGGACGGCTCTCATACAGGCTACCATCAACATACAGCCTCAATTCGCTATCACCCTTTCCAAGCAAACTATGCTTGTTTGTGTGCTCCAAGCCAACAAAATACCAGCACTGAGGCTTGAACGCATACGTGAAGTGCAAAGAAGCTTTCTTACCCCTCCCACCCACACTCTCCACCACCAAGAACTGGCCATGAAGGTAGGCTTCCACGCCCTGGTTATCTGAAGAGAGAAAGCTGAAAAGCCGGGGCATGTGTGTTGTTCCTTCTCCCGCAAGGGCACTGGCTGCCGCAGCAGCTGACATTGCTGATGATTTTCCAGATGTTGCCACCGCAGCAGCAGCAATGGCTGCGGCAGCTGTTGCTGTGCTAAGCGTATCCGAGAATGATTCTATATATATCCAAGTGGCGAGCCCATATCCATTTAAGAAGGGCCACCTGCTGTCACCTGGGCCAAGCAGACCAGAGCTCTCCCCGTCGAACTCAAATGACACAGCAGGACCTTTTGCTTCCACGCTGCCCATGGCCTTCTCAAGCGCTAGCATAAGTGGCGTGGCCCAGCTCGTTCCAAGTGCCTTTCTAACCAAATCAAGCCAGGAATGCAGGTCTTTCACACTAAGCGAGTGCCCACCCAACATCTGAATGCACTGAAGCAGTGGCGTCCCGTCCCACCTACTACCCTGATCCATTTCGACGAATAGCTTCTCCGCGGACGCGAGGAGGGCAGCCATGAGGCCCGCGGAAGAACACATGGCTCGGTTGCGAGTGCAGGCGCGGAGGGCGGCGTGCAGACCCGAGGCTGCACGAGTGCGCGGCGACGGCTCGTCGCCTTCGGGGAGATGAGACAGGAGCTCGGCGGCGACGACAGCGGCACGCGAGCTGATCATGACGGTGGGAGGAGCGCCGGTGCCGGTGCCGGTGGCGTCGCCTGCCTCGTCCGCACCGCTCATGGTGCCGAGCAGCACGTCGACGACGGAGTGCGCCAGCTCGCCCTCCTCCTGGGAGACCACCTCGCGGAGGAGGTCCGCCCCACCCGCGATCGCCTCCTCCACCGCCCGCACCACCTCCTGCGGCGCGTCGGCCGGCACTCCGGGCGGCCGCGGCCGCAGCCTGGGCCACGGGGACGGCTTGTTAGAGATTAATCTTGTCATCAGAGCATTGCATGTTTACGTTGTCAGTTGCATTTAGAAAATAATTGTCTATGTGTAGTTCTCTGCATGTTTACATAGGAGTATACACGTTTGGTGAGAAGCCATGCCATGTGAAGTGGCAGTGCATGCTCGTGATAATTGTTGTAACATGTTTAGGCTGCATGAGAGATTAATTAGGAACTAGCCATGCATAAGATTCTATTCTGGGTCAAAGCCACGAAGTGTTTTCATGGCGGAAGAATAGGATGGCGTCCAGGGACTGGGCACTTGCATGCTGCTAGCATGTTTCCACGGTTGCACGTTGCGAGATGCAGCGTGAGTCTCGGCTGGGTGATTTTGGCTAGCCGTTTATTTCATGCATGTACTTGAGTTTATATATGAATGAAAAGCGATGGGAGTTGTGTGGCTTGCGTCAACAAAAGAAAACTGCTAGCTTGTGCCATTCTGTACGTGTGCGTGTATCTACCAAAGAGAGCAGGCGAGTGTTTGCGATAAACACTTGCTGGTGAGGGAGAGATTCCCAACATCAGTGAGGGAGAGAATTCCAACAATTGGTACCAAAGCCGGTTTTTTCAACGAAGACGATGTCGCGCGACGATTCTTCATCGGGCAAAGCCATTGTGAGTGGTGGTTTCGGCGACACGACGACAACGACCGCGGCGACGGGGAGGCTCCCATTCCCGATGCTGACCAGGACGAACTACGCGTCGTGGGCGCTGAGGATGAAGTACATCTTGCGCACCAATGGTGCGTGGGGTGCTGTTGATGCTAAGAAGGCATCCGGCAGTACCGTCGATGAGAGCAAGGACTGCCTAGCCTTGACGATCATCTCACAGTCGATCGACGACGAGACGCTTCTACGAGTTGCTGAGAAGGAGACTGCCGCTGATGTATGGGTGGCTTTGCGCTCCATGCATGTGGGCAGCGAGCGCGTCCGGGAGGCAAGAATTCAGTCCTTGCGGTCTGATTTTGATAACCTTAAGATGGGTGATGCAGAGTCCGTGGATGATTTCGCGTTGAAATTCACGACGCTAGTTGGGCGCATTCGTGAACTTGGTGACGCGATGGACGAGAAGTACGTCGTGAAGAAGCTGCTGCGAGCCGTCTCCACCAAGTTCATCCACGTCGCTTCATCATTGATGCTTTTTAGCGACATTAACAAAATGGCCATGGAGGAGGCCATTGGGTTACGTTGAAAAGCGCATGAAGAGTCTTTGAAGGGACGAGAGGTCCAAAGGAAGAACAACAAACTTCTCATGGCAAGAGCACGTGACTCGTCTCAAAGTCGTGGTCATGTCCGTGATTTGAGCGAAGGACAAGAGCAAGGTAAAATGCTACAAGCGCCAAATGCTTTGGACATTTTGCTTGGGAATGTCTGAGAAGAAAAAAGAAAGATGAGATCGCACTCCTTGCGCAATCAAGTGACTATGAGCCAGCTCTCCTGTGAATGGCAATGCCAAGATTAGGGGGGTAATTGTTAGAGATTAATCTTGTCATTAGAGCATTGCATGTTTACGTTGTCGGTTGCATTTAGAAAATAATTGTCTGTGTGTAGTTCTCTGCATGTTTACATAGGAGTATACACGTTTGGTGAGAAGCCATGCCATGTGAAGTGGCAGTGCATGCTCGTGATAATTGTTGTAACATGTTTAGGCTGCACGAGAGATTAATTAGGAACTAGCCATGCATAGGATTCTATTCGGGTCAAAGCCACGAAGTGTTTTCATGGCGGAAGAATAGGACGCGGCCCGTGGATCGGGCACTTGCATGCTGCTAGCATGTTTCCACGGCTGCACGCTATTGCGAGATGCGTGAGTCTCGGATGGGTGATTTTGGTGGCCGTTTATTTCATGCATGTACTTGAGTTTATATATGAATGAAAAGCGATGGGAGTTGTGTGGCTTGCGTCAACAAAAGAAAACTGCTAGCTTGTGCCATTACAGTACATGTGCGTGTATCTACCAAAGAGAGCGGTAGTAGTGTTTGCGATAAACACTTGCTTTGGTGAGGGAGAGATTCCCAACATCGGTGAGGGAGGAATTCCAACACGGCTCGTGAGGGGCGTCGAGGGCATGGCCCGCCAGTGCGGTACTCATCCCCGGATCCGACGCCGCCTCCTCCTCGACGACGCCTTCCTCGTCGCCGAAGCGGACATGTGACCGCTGAATCTGCTCCTCGAGCCCTCCTCCCAAGGGCGCCGGCGCCGGAGGAATCGGGCAACTAAGCGCGTCCTCCGCCATTGCTAGGACTTCACTCCATCAAGACCAATTCCGAGCAGAGTGCGGTGTGTGGAAATCTGACGAGAATCGGTCAACGGAAGTGAAACAATGGTGGGCGTAAACTGGAGTGGGGAAGAATCGGAGTGGGAAAAATGGCAGCCTGCCATGAGCGCGCGTGTAGATCTGAAGAGATCTACGAGGTGTTTGGTGCAAATGCGTGCGGAGCGGTGGGTGGAATTTAGCGGCGGTGCACGGCGAGATCCGAGAGGCGGAAGCGGATGATGAGCTTGACGAGGGGCGGGGGGTGGGAGGTCGAGATTCGAGAGGGAGAAGACGTGGCGCGGCTCCGGGTGGGTTCACACGCCTTCATTTCAAATTCGATTTTTTTTAATTTTAACACTTTTTAATCTAATTCTAAATCTAACACCGGTTTTTTTAAACTAACACTTTTGGCCGCGCCTATTGCCCTGGCGCGGCTAAATGCCTGTACCGCGTCATGCATGGTGGCGCGGCAACGGTCTGACGTGGCGACGACCGGTTTCGGTGACCGTTACGTGGCAGGTCCGGCCGCGCCACCCACCATGGCGCGGCAGTGCCGCGCTCTGATCCATGGCGCGACAGAGCTGAATAAATACCACGTGCAAGCCTACCACCCATACGCACCCTCTTCGCCCGCCTTGACGCCACGCTTGCCGCGCCCGCCGCCGCCAACCGCCGCGCCCGCCTCCGCGTAGCGCCCGCCACACGCCACGCCTTAAACCACTCCGCAAGACAACGCCAAGGCTGGCGCATGCCATTTAATGCCGCCCGGCCGTCAAGGCCGCCCGCTCCTAAGTTACCTCCCTCTCGATTTCATATTTTTTTATTATTATTGATTTAGGATAATTAGTGATTTAGGATAGTTAGTAATTTAGGATAGTTAGGGTTTTATGATTAGTATTAATTTATGATAGTGATTTAGGATAGTTAGGTTAGTGAATCTATTTGTGATTTACGTAGGTTTGAGATCGTGTGTTCTAGTATAGTTAGGATTTTGGGTCTATGGATGAACCAATCACAAGATGAATATGAAATCAATCACCAGGAGAATACCAAATGACAAGAGACAACCAATTTTCTCCCGAGGTTCACGTGCTTGCCAACACGCTACGTCCCCGTTGTGTCGACCAACACTTGGTGGTTCGGCGGCTAAGAGGTGTTGCACAAACCTTGTCCACACGATTGGACACCACAAGAACCTACCCACAAGTGAGGTAACTCAATAACACGAGCAATCCACTAGAGTTACCTTTCGTCGCTCCACCGGGGAAGGTACAAATCCCCTCACAATCACCGGAGATGGCCACGAACAATCACCAACTCGTGCCAAACCTCCTCCGCTGCACCAAGCCGTCTAGGTGGTGGCAGCCACCAAGAGCAACAAGTGAATCCTGCAGCGAAACACGAATACCAAGTGCCTCTAGATGCAATCACTCAAGCAATGCACTTGGATTCTCTCCCAATCTCACAATGATGATGGATCAATGATGGAGATGAGTGGGAGGGCTTTGGCTAAGCTCATAAGGTTGCTATGTCAATGCAAAAGGCCAAGAGAGTGAGCTTGAGTCGGCCATAGGGCTTAAATAGAAGCCTCCACGAAATAGAGCCGTTGGGCTCCTCACTTTACTGAAAACGGGCCGACCGGACGCTCCGGTCATATTGACCGGACTCTGGACCTCAGCGTCCGGTCATGCGATGTGTGCCACGTGTCATCGGCTTCAAACGCCGATCACCCGATTTCAATGGTCAAGAGATGACCGGACACGTCAGTTAGAAAGTGACCGGACGCTGAATCTCAGCGTCCGATCGTTTCCAGTAAGGTTCCAAACGCGACATTTCATGCCTCGACCGGACACACCCTGCGTCCGGTCACTCAACGTTTCCTCTGTGCGCCCCACGTCAGCGTACGTCAGCACTGACTGGACGCACCCTGCCAGCTTCCGGTCACTTTTAGCGCCAGCGTCCGGTCGAAGACAGAAACACACGCCCTCTGCTGCCACTGACCGGACGCGTCGGTCCAACCGAGACCAGCGTCCGGTCACTTACAGTGACCTTCATCTTTTCTGTAAAGAGCGCCGGTGAAGTTTCTAACCCTTGCTCAAATGTGCCAACCACCAAGTGTATCACCTTGTGCACATGTGTTAGCATATTTTCACAAACATTTTTAAGGGTGTTAGCACTCCACTAGATCCTAAATGTATATGCAATGAGTTAGAACATCTAGTGGCATTTTGATAACCATATTTCAATACGAGTTTCGGCCCTCTTGATCACCGAAACAAAATGGCTCCTACTATTTATACCTTTGCTTTGAGCCTTTTGTTTTTTTCTTTCTTTTTTTCTAAGTTTAAGCATTTGATCATCACCATGCCATAACCATCGTCATGATCTTCGTCATTGCTTCATCACTTGGAGTAGTGCTACCTATCTCATAATCACTTTGATAAACTAGGTTAGCACTTAGGGTTTCATCAATTAACCAAAACCAAACTAGAGCTTTCAATCTCTCCCTTTTTGGTAATTGATGGCAACCCTTTCACAAAGATATGAATTGTAATTTAACTGAATCCATGTTGCTTGCCCAAGCATATTTACCATGTGTAAAAGAATATGGACAAGTTTCATTAACTCCAAATGGTAGCAATTGCTCCCCCTACATGTGTGCTAAGAGTTTGGATTGTAGCTTGCACATATGCTTAGATTGGAAATTTAGGAGACGATTTCTACCATATGATGCTAAGG